GAGCAACACGCTTCGAAGCTGAAGCCAATGGATTTGGGGCTCAATGATGAGTTTTTGATTCATTTGGTTTTTGCTTCCTTGCCAAAGGAATATGAAACTTTTGTTGTTAATTACAACATTCAGCCCGATAAGTGGGATATAGAGAAGCTCATCGCAATGTGTGTTCAAGAACAGGAGAGGCTGAAATTCTTACAGCGTGACTCTGCTAACCTTGTGAAGGACAACAAGACGAACTTTAATAAGAATGCCAAACCTTAAGGGAAAGCCCCTCAGAATGACCACCATCCGAAGAACAACAATGCTCAAGTTGAGAAGGATCAGTGTAAATGGTGCAAAAATCATGGACACTACTAGAGGGACTGTCCAGACTTTGTGAAGAGCCTTCTAAAGAGAGGTGAGGATTTCATTATTTTCATAGATGAATCCTTGTATTTAAGTTATGCAAAATCTACTTGGTGGATTGATTCAGGTGCAACTGTTCATGTTGCAAATTCATTACAGGGATTCAGTACGAGGAGGACCCTGCAAAGAGAAGAAAGAAGAATTAGAGTTACAAATGGAGTTGAAGCTGAAGCCATTGGAGATCTATCTCTAGAATTAGTTGATGGTTTTGTACTTAAGCTTTCAGATGTTCTATATGTACCCTCTTTGCGAAGAAACTTAATAATTGTTTCACATTTAGATGACGATGGTTATGATTGCCATTTTGGTAATGACAAATGTAGGATTGTGATTAATAATAAGTGTGTTGGTCTTGCCTTCCGACAAGACAAGCTTTATTTATTATCACTTTCTGAGAATGTGAATGATGTAAGTACTGAGAATGAGAATGCTTCCTCGTCTATGAATGTAACAAATAAGCGGAAGAGAGTGCATGATGTATCTTCGAAATTATGGCACTATCGTTTAGGACATATTTCGAGGGGGAGAATAGAGCGATTGATTAAGAAATCAATTCTTCCACCTTTAGAATTTTTAGATTTAGAACAATGCATAGATTGCATAAAAAGAAAGTACGTTAAAAAAATAAAGAAAGATGTGAAATGAAGCATAGAAATTGTAGAAATAGTTCACATAGACATATGTGGTCCGTCGCAGTACCATTTCTTTGAATACAAAGCAGTGAGACACCTCTCGTGCTCTGTTCTTGATCTCACCTTATCCCGGCCCTTCATTCTCACTACCAGACATGTAATTAGTAGGGGCGGTTGGTGAGGTTTTCTAGAGGCGGCTCGGCCAGCCCCTATCATCTTGTCTCTACAAATCATGCATTTGTAGAGGTGGTTCCTGATCGCCCTTATAAATCGATTTGTAGAGGTAATTTGGTGTTATCGATCGTCCCTACAAATCGAGTTGATAGGTAGGCTACTGTAGTACCAACCGCCTTTATAATACATATGTTTGTAGGGATGCGTACAGTCTAGAACCGCTCCTACAAAGTACATTTTTCCATAAAAAAATTTAAATTTACAATTCAAATTTGACCGAAATATATATATATATATATAATTCAAATCTGACCGTAACATATATAATTTAGATCCGACTACAAGCACAAACAGACATCTGCGACTACTGACTAGCTGCAAGGAAATGAAATGCATTTATTGCAAGAAGCAGAAGAATAAGGCAGAGCCGAATTTGTAGTTAATGTTGTAAACTCGGCCCGCAGAGAGAGCACACGCTAATCTTGCCGACTAACAATGTTGAACTCTTCCCGTAGGGCTTAATCGCTCTTCTGGGCTAGGCTGTTTGCTTGACCTCGCAAATCGAGAGACACAAGATCAGCTCCTGCTATCGGCACAAAGAGAATGAGCAAGCAAATCAGAGAACACGCTTTCATAAACAACATAATAGACTCAAGCCGAGATGCTCTAGATCTCACTAAAACGCACCAAATCTAGACAACTGATAATAAGATTCGAACCGACAGTGGAGATGAGTCGCTGCCACCTGATCTCATCGAGAGGACGAAGGGGATCTCGTCATCCATTGCCATTGTGCCCCCGGAACTGCAGAGGCCACCGTGCCCACGGCCATCGGCGAAGCGAGCAAGGGAGGCGCGTCGTCGTGCCCGGTTGCGCCCGAAGTTGGCATAGAGGCACGGGCCCACCATCGCCAAAGACACTCGCCAGTAGATCCGAGTTTATTGTCGCCTTGGCCGCGTGCGAGGGGGCTCGAGATCCGGCTGCTGCAATCCCTACCGCGCTCCCCCCTCCCCCGTGGGCCCGTCTGTCGAGCTAGTGTAGAGGCGCCGACTCGCACAGGACGCCCAGCCGCCATAGTTTCTTAGTGCGTGAATGGGAGGAGGAGAGAAATGAGGTGTGTGGCTCTCGAGCTTTTCTCTCCAGCTCTGAGCACGATTCGCTTCCCTCATGTAGTCATCACCGGCGGGGAGGGAGTTGAGGCCTAGGCCTTTCGGGAGTTGTGGCCGGTGGTGGCGAGGCTAGGGCTGGGGTGGAGCCGGGAAAAGGAAGGGGTGGGTGTGGATAGGGGTTCTGGCGTCCATTTTATACGAGGAAGATTGCATCCTCCCCGTTGGATCAAGATGGATGGACGAGATCATCCACAACCTTAATTGGGCCTGCGAATTTGAGAGTGGGCCAAATGCATTTATAGGGACGGCTGATGATTGAGCCGCCCCTACAAATTGCAACACCAGGAGCAGCTGGTGAGTGAGCCGCCCCTATAAATCGACCCATTTGTAGGGGCGTCTCGTATCACCAGCCGCCCCTACTGTGCCATATGTAGAGGCGGCTGGTCTCGTGGGTCCCGAACACGCCCACTGTAGGGGCGCTTCCATCCCCGGCCACCCTTAAAAAAAATTAAGCTATTGCTACAAACCTTTTCTATAGTAGTGTATTTCAGTATATAGCAAGGCTGTCATCGGCATGCAGTTGGTGCTACACACGCGTGGCTTCAGCAATCTATTGGAGAACTAAGGTAAGGTCGTAAGGACTACCGCTACCCTTGCATGCCACATATATTACTACTTGTCTCCTCCATGTCTTGTCCGATCTGATGCTCAGCAGACAGAGAGGACAGTATTTGTTAATGCATCAGCCCTTTTTTAGGAAATTAGGAGGCCGTCACGAGAGGTGGATAATTTTTGTATAAAACAAAATAGATCCAATAGCTATTGTTGTTGACAATGATTAGAATATAACAAATCAATGGCCAGATACTTTTCGTTTTTTTGAGAGCTTTACAAATTTATCTTTTTTTTATAATGCATCTTGTGACAATTAACATCTGTATCCTTTTGGGCTTCATGCTTCTCTCATATGTGTGTCAAAGTAGCGCTTCCATTATTTTGTATCCTCAGCAGATAAAAATAAAGTAACTCATGGTGTTTCCTTCGGCCGTCGTTGAAGATGGTGTGAACAAAGTGTTGTCATACATCTCAACCAAGCTTGATGACAAGGCTTCCCAAGGGTTTTGCTACGGTACCTCTGAATGATTGTGGACCGTTGATGTCTACGGTACCTCCTAGGAGTCAATATTGCAAAATAGGAAGAAAAAAACAACATATTAGGAAAAATATCAGTCAATTAGATCTTACATGCATAACACATGCATACCGCACGTGTCATGTAACGTTTTTTTTTAACTTGATGGACCTCTATATGGAGCTATAATTTATCCCAACATGTTATATAATTTTACGGATTATAATATTTTTAGCACGACATATGCAATTTTTTATATGAGAACGATGAAATAATTATTTGACTGCATAAGCAATTTTGCACTGGGTTCACGCAATGTGTCTGTAGACATGGTTGATCCCATGTACTCCGTAGCATACACTCTGGCACACACGGTCACTTGTTCACTATCTTGCCTCGACGCAGTACTAGCTGTGAAATACTCCTGGCACTTTTTTTGTTTGCTATTCTGGCCTGATATATTCCTCCCCTTGTTTGATCTGTTCCTGATATATTCCTCCCCTTCGTTCCATCTGTTGGTGCGAACTGCAGGATCTAGAGGATCAGAGCTAAGGTGAGCCTTAACATTAAGCATACTAGTCCATCAACATGTGCTCCTGCACAGGATAACTTTAGATAAACAATAGAAAACCCTATTTAACATATATTAACTAAAAAATTTGTTCATACAACTAACTTTTATTTGAATCCGGAGTTACATACGTGTATGAATTGGCATTGTTATGTGTGAGGAGATCCCCATGGCATAGCTAATGATGCGACATTAGTTGGATTCTACTGTTTTCCATTCTTTGTTTTGTGTCCCAGTATGGCTAACTTTGTGCAGTATATGGACATGTTAGATGTTCCTTTTTGGAATTTGATTGTGTGGGTAACAATATTAAAAGGTTAGTTCACCTGCTGATCTGCAAAAAAAAATTAATAACATGATTTAATCTTGGATATTGAGATACGTACCTTCAATTGTTTTCATAAATTGTAGTCTTTCTTTGATTTGTCTAATGATTTTTTTGAGGTTAATGTGGAAATACATACCAGAGATGTTTGGCTTGTTTTTGTTGGTTTATGATCTTTTGCTTTGTGAATCACTACACGAAATGTTGCATCTTTTGACATTTCATATATGTCATAGTACTTGGAAAATATGTCATAGGTCACCATTTGTGACACCAAGTTAACGAAAAATCAAATGTCAAAAGATACACGTCTTTAATGGCAACTTTTGACGTTTAAGTGTTCACGCCATAACATTATGACATTGATTTTGAAGTCATAAATGTTTATGACATCTGATTTGAAGTCATAAATTTTAAGACCTCACCACGTAGATAGCCCATACAATTTCTAAACATGATTTTTAGCCCAATATTCAATATTGCACGGCCCACTCAATAATCAGCCCAAATATTATAGCCCTTTATCATCAAAATTAAATAATACAACAATTAATAGTTACAGTACACATGAGAAGTACATCAACTATACTAATAACGATACATATGCATATATTTTCTAAATCTTCTAAATTAGGAAGCACCAGCATCTTGTCCACTACATCCATGTCATCATCAAGGTAGTTAGGCTTGGAACCTGTCCATGAATTGCAAAAAAATATTAGACTCCAAATCTAGTGGGACACAAAAAGATATATTAAAACTCCACACGACACGATGCAACTCAGAGTTATTAGTAATATTAGTAATGCTAGAAGTCACTTAAATATCTATGCATGAACACAGTAATAAAATGTAGTTAAAAAACATTATTTAGTTAGTCCAAACTACTACTGTACCATTTACTGTTGGAAGAAATCAAGCAAGAAACCAAATAGCTAATCTACAAATGCAATCAAACAAGGTGGTGCAGCTACAACTTCGCTATAGTATGCAGTAGCAAAAATCCTTCACGGTAGAAAACACTGCAAATACTACAGCAATGCAACAACAGCAAATAGCAGACTTGTAAAGGATTGAAAAATTGAGAGTTTCAGACTCAGCAGCTGTATAACTATATTCGGAGAGTTTCAGACACAACAGAAATACTACAGCAATGCAACACGATTCAGATAGATTCAGACACAACAGCACTGACATCATAGTGAGAAGTATTATAAGGTACTGAGTTACTCGTTTACTTATTGCTGTAAGTAGTCCACTGGATTAGCACTAGTTCTATTTTTTAAAACCAAATAAATACAGAGAATACACAATGGGACACTAGAGTTGTCAAATGTACTTTAATTATCCCCACAAGTGAAAGAAATGCAATAACAACAGATATTTGTACAATGGCACATAATGAAATACTATTTCAACAAGGTAAATCCAGCTAGATTAGAAAAACTTACTGTTGTAAGAGTAGCAGATATCCTGCAGTTCTCATGGAGGAAGTAGCCATGGAGGAAGTAGCTCCAGTAGTTCTTAATGAAAGGGGAGCAGTGGAGGAAGTAGCCCCAGCACTGAATGGTGGAGGCAGGCAAGCGCTGCTCCAACCTGCAGGGGCGTGACCTCAAGGACGCATCCCGTCCAGACCCTGGCAGCCTGAACCAAGCATCCATGTGCTGGAAAAACAACAATATGCAGATAAATAATTATCGGCATCATATGTGTACTGCAGGAAGAAATCAATCTAGAAACCTGATAGCTGATCCAAAAATTCAATCAAACAAGGTGGTGCAGCTACAACTTTGCTACAGCATGTAGTAGCCAGAACCCTTCGCAGTAGTGAACACTGCAAATACTACATCTATGCAACAACAATGCAACAGGATGCAAATATTCCTTAGCAGACTTGTAAGGCCCGGAATGAAATTATTTAGAAATTTTTTGTGTTCAGCTTCAACTTTCAGTAACAGAACTTAGAAATTTATGAGTTCAGCTTCCACTTTCAGCTTCCAAATTTTGCCTAGCTGCCTTTCAAGGTACTTCTCTGTCTCTAAATTTTCTTATCTTTCTTGCTATTTGCAATAGCAGCCTTATTTAAATGTGAGATTTGAATGCAAAATAGAAGCAGTAAAAACACACAACCTGTTTTGGAGGGGCTACAGCAGGAATAGCAGAGTAGAGCACACAACAAGAGGCCTGCATAAAAGAGCAACCAGACCAGCAACTATCAACAGCCCAGAAGTTGCATAAATTGAAATTAAATAGTTCGAATGTACTGTTATTTTTTTTTTTGTTTACTAATTTTCGATATGAAAAACTGAAATGTAAGAAGTCCAGTAGACAAGATTCACTAACCCGTAGACAAGATTATTCAACAGCTGTTTTGAGAGGCAGCCGGCTGTGGCCAGCTAGGACCTAGAGGACTCCTGGCCACTGAAAATAGGCTATGGCTAGCATCCGTGAAAACAGAACACAAGGAACAATTAAATTGATAAACTGAACATATCTTAGATAAGGCAGAACAAGGAATTAAGCAGAAGAGAGATGTGCTACAGTCATAGCAAAAGAAAAGAGGCTTTTCCTTCGGAACTGCACACGAAACCTTTTTGTATATCCTTTGCATTACCTTGAATAACCTAATCAAAAGTGCTATTCTAGCAGCATCTGATGCAACTAAGAACCCAGCAGTCTATATGGCAATAATTTATTTTGAAATGTTACAGATCTAGAGTTGCTGGCGTGGTGGGTATCAAGCAGCCAGCATCTCTCTGATCCTTTGCACTTGCTTGCCTAATACAGACCAGTACTAGTCGCATTGAATGATGTCATTTACAAATTCAGGATAAGTCCATATGCTATTTCAAAACCTCCTTTGCTCTGAGGACAACCAAACACCACTACAGGCTAAAAAAAACTAAATTTTCTAAAGTTTAGATGTTCAAATGCCTTATCTTCAGAAACTCAGACCAAATTTCACAACGGAACTGCTGCTGGCCAGAGAAGAAGTGATCACCCCAATCTGTTTGTCTGAAGCAAAGGGGACGGAGCAGGGTCTGAGCGTTGGAATCACTGGAAAGGGAAGCTTTCCCATGGGGACTCGCCTACAACAGCATGAACGGAACGGGAACCGTGGCGGACATAATCGCACCTTGGGGTCGTAGGCGAGGATGTTGCGGGGCCGGCCATCACCGCACCATGGTCCTTGGGGTCGCAACCAAGGATGTTGCAGAGACAGTCGAGGTGCTCACTCTGGTCCTCGGCTCCTCGCCTCGAAGTGGCTGCGCGACGCAGCGAGTGCATAGTCGTTGTCGGCGGCCGCCGTTGCGGCCTCGTCCTCCTCGGAGCTGGCAGCACGTGCGGCCTCCTGAGCCCGCAACGCTGAGCGCAGGGTCGTGGATGACGGCCGCCGTGGCGGCCTCGTCCTCCCTGGAGCTGGCGCCCATAAGCCCTTCCGGGCCCGCACCGTCGACGCTGCCACCCGGGCTAGCACCGCCGCCGCTGCCTCCCAGGCCCGTCTCGCCGCCGCCGTCGCCTCGACTCATACCTTCCTCACCGGATCTGCGTTGATGGGCGCGCATAGTGCGATGGGTGGCGGCCTAGCGGGGAACGACGGTAGCACCGTGCGAGATCCGGAAGGATGTCGGGCGGGGGGCGCTAGGGTTAGGGGAGGGGTGGGTCTCTTTGTTTGGGGCCATTTTTGGTGCTTGACACCCGCTTGTTGTGATTTTGACCCATTGTTTTGGCGCCCGCGTATTTCCGTCATTGCCTTTTTTTCTGAATTTTACTGCCTCACATGAGTTTTAGGCGGGCTGGCATTTTTCATACGCATGGATCATTTTTCACATATAATTATTGCATACATACAATTTAAATACATTTTTACGTAATTTTTTCAGTAGGAGTACACACAATTCAGCTTAGAATTTGTTCCAATTGACACAAAGAAATTCATTTAAACTACTTCCAAAAATTTTAAAACCTCATATTTTTTAACTTGTGGTAAATGTAAGGTTTTGTCTAAATTTCAGGTGCATATTAGTTCAAATTTTAAGTGACCATGGTTCAACCAACGTTCGATGCATATGTATGTTAAACATTTGAACATGAGTCTATAGCTTAGTGGTAAGGCCTGCTTTGTTTTTATAGTTTAAATCCTCCTCTCTATAAATTTAGTATTTCTTTTCACATTTTTCATGCGACCTTATTGTGCATATATAAAAAAGCAACAATCGTCCTCTATCGCAAATTGGACTAGCGTGGAGCCAACACCGAGATCCAGTGGTTCCCTAAACAAGGGGGAGTTTGCAACTTAACTTTTTTTAATCTCTACTTGTGTATTAATTATAAAATTAACACACAAGTAGAGATTAAAGTATTTGTGTATATAACATAGACAAGGATAGCTCGTAAAAATAATATAGTTATCAATAAATATTTAATTCGGAAGAGATTCGGTGCCTGAGGGCTGAGGTGACCCGGTAGCAGGATGAGGTGCGCAAGCTTCGGGCAGACGTGGACGGTAAGTCTCTAGCTTCCCTTGTTATTTTTCTTCCTGAAATCCGTGATAGGCCTTTTAACATGGTCGGTATGTCACTTGGGTAGGTCTTGATGACAAGCTCGGGATGGAGGTGGTGAGGAGCTGTGGCCTGGAGAAGGAGCTTGGCGAGGCGAAGGACGTCCTCCAAAAGGAGAGCGACAAGCATGACAACCTCTCCGCGTCGTCGTCCAATTTGGTGTGCGACAATGAATCAGCCGGAGTAGGAGACAAGCTCCTTCGCAGTTCGCGCCACCCGGATTACGGACCGGGCGCGCGAGATGGCGAGAAACACACTCCACCTCGGCGTTCATCGCTGGTTCGCGATCGCACGTACTCACTATGAGAACATCGATCTGGCGACGATGAGCTAGGGCTTCGCACTCGGCTACTCTGAGGCTGAGTTGGACGAGATCGAGGAGGCGAGGCAACCCTGGTCCCTCATTATCTAGAGAAAACTTTTAAATATGTTTATGATACCTTGTTTTCTTCGCGGATACGGATATGGTCAGATATTGTCGAATACGGATCAGGAATCGGATAGAGAAAAACACTAAAAAATGAATTCAGATATATCCATTTAGGCCCGTTCGGCTTACCCCATATTCGGTTTGTTCGTCTTCTTTTTTCAGCCAGAACAGTGTTTTTCTCTCACAACAATTTAGCCAGAACAGTTTTTTTCAGCCAGTTTCTGCCAAAATTCTGCCAACCGAATGGGCGATAGGACTAGGCGGCCTTTGGACGGCAAATAGGCCTACTGCTACAAATAGGCGCAGTCGGCAGGCTCCTATCGGTCCTCCAGACTCCTGGCCACTGAAAATAGGCTATGGCTAGCATATGTGAAAACAGAACACAAGGAACAATTAAATTGATAAACTGAACATATCTTAGATAAGGCAGAACAAGGAATTACGCAAAAGAAAAGAGGCTTTTCCTTCAGAACTGCACACGAAACCTTTTTGTATATCCTTTGTCTTACCTTGAACAACCTAATCAAAAGTGCTATTCTAGCAGCATCTGATGCAACTAAGAACCCAGCAGTCTATATGGCAATAATTTATTTTGAAATGTTACAGATCTAGAGTTGCTGGCGTGGTGGGTATCAAGCTGCCTGCATCTCTCTGATCCTTTGCACTTGCTTGCCTAACACAGACCAGTACTAGTCGCATTGAGTGATGCCATTTACAAATTCAGGATAAATCCATATGCTATTTCAAAACCTCCTTTGCTCTGAGGACAACCAAACACGTCTACAGGCTAAAAAAAAAAACTAAATTTTCTAAAGTTTAGATGTTCAAATGCCTTATCTTCAGAAACTCAGACCAAATTTCACAACGGAACTGCTGCTGGCCAGAGAAGAAGTGATCACCCCAATCTGTTTGTCTGAAGCAAAGGGGACGGAGCAGGGTCTGAGCGTTGGAATCACTGGAAAGGGAAGCTTTCCCATGGGGACTCGCCTACAACAGCATGAACGGAACGGGAACCGTGGTGGACATAATCGGACCTCGGGGTCATAGGCGAGGATGATGCGGGGCCGGCCATCACCGCACCTTGGTCCTTGGGGTCGCAACCAAGGTTGTTGCAGAGACAGTCGAGGTGCTCGCTCTTGGCCTCGGCTCCTCGCCTTGCAGTGGCTGCGCGACGCAGGTGAAAGCTCTAGTTTGATTTTGGTGAATTGATGAAACCCTAAATGCTAACTTAGTTTATTAAGTGATCATGAGATAGGTAGCACATTCCAAATGGTGAAGCAAATAAAGATCATGACATGAAGATGGCGATGCCATGGTGATGATCAAGTGCTTGGAATTGAAAAGAAGAAAGAGAAAAACAAAAGGCTCAAGGCAAAGGTATAAATAGTAGGAGCCATTTTGTTTTGGTGATCGAGACACTTAGTGAGTGTGATCAAATTTAGGATCGATAGCCGTACTATTAAGAGGAGTGAAACTCATTTCGAAATACGGTTGTTAAAGTGCCACTAGATTCTCTAACTCATTGCATATGCATTTAGGATCTAGTGGAGTGCTAACACCCTTGAAAATGTTTATGAAAATATGCTAACACATGTGCACAAGGTGATACACTTGGTGGTTGGCACATTTGAGCAAGGGTTAGAAACTTCACCGGCGGAGTGTCCGCCCGTTGAGTGCGGACAGTCCGACGGTGCCACCGACGCCCAAGACAGAAAAGACGGAGGTCACAGGAAGTGACCGAACGCTGGCCTCGGTTGGACCGGCGCGTCCGGTCAGTTGAAATAGTGAAGACGCTGGCGTCGGTCTCTGACCGGACGCTGGGTCACTTAGTGACCAGACGCTGATAGGGTGCGTCCGGTCCTACTGACGTGGCAATGCACAGGGGAGTCGCCGTGTGACCGGACGCTAGGTGTGTCCGGTCAAGCATATGACTGGACGTGTCCGGTCGTGAAAAGTCGTCTCTGGATGCTTACTGGAAACGACCGGACGCTGGGGTTCAGCGTCCGGTCACTTTGAGCTGCTGCGTCCGGTCGTCACTTGACCATTGAGATCGGGCGATCAACATTTGAAGAGAGGGGACACATGGCATGCATCGCGTGACCGGACGCTGAGGTCCAGCGCCGGTCAATATGACCGGAGCGTCCGGTCACCCCGCATTGTGCCCAGTGATGGGGTACAACGGCTCCATTTCGTGGGGGCTTCTATTTAAGCCCCATGGTCGGCTCTAGCTCACTCTCATGGCCATTTGCATTGACATAGCAACCTTGTGAGCTTAGCCAAAGCCCTCCCACTCATCTCCATCATTGATTCATCATCTTTGTGAGATTGGGAGAGAATCCAAGTGCATTGCTTGAGTGTTTGCATCTAGAGGCACTTGGTGTTCGTGTTTCGCTGCGGGATTCGCTTGTTACTCTTGGTGGTTGCCGCCACCTAGACGGCTTGGAGCAGCGAGGATCGTCGAGCGGAGGTTGGTGATTGTCTCCGGCTCCGATCGTGATGATTGTGAGGGGTTCTTGACCTTTCCCCGGCGGAGAGCCAAAATATACTCTAGTGGATTGCTCGTGGCTTGTGTGATTCTCATCTTGTATTGGTTGTGCGGCACCCTATTGAGGGTTTGGCGTGTGATGCCAATTAGCGCTTGAACCTCCAAGTGAGTAAATCGCCACGACGAGGAGTAGCTTGCCGGTAAGCAAGTGAACCTCGGTAAAAAATCATTGTGTTCATCATTTGATTCCGAGGTGATTGGTCTTCGTTGGTATTCATTCTTGTGATTGATTGGCTCATTCCTCGACATGGCGGTATAACCTTCTTGCTCACTCTCTTTACATTACCGCAAACTAGTTGTCAAGCTTTTTAGTGTATCTAGTTGTGAGAGCTTGTTAGTTTGGTTAGTGTGCCTCTTTAGTTAGCTTTTGAGAGCACACTAACTTAGTGTAGTGTCATAGTTATTGTGTGGATAGAAACTATATAAACTAGAATTGTGGTAGGTGGCTTGCATTTTTAGTAGGCTAGCGCAACACTTGCTTCGCCTCATATTTGTCTAACCGGTTTGTTAAAGTGTTGTTGTAGAAATTTTTATTAGGCTATTCACCCCCCTCTAGCCATTAGGACCTTTCAAGTGGTATCAAAGCCGAGGTCACCGTGATTTGAGGCTTAACAACCTTCGGTGTAAAAATGGCTCAAATCAACAACACCAAGAAGCCACCCCAATTTGATGGCACAAACTATCCATATTGGAAATCAAAGATGACCACATATATCAAGTCAATCAATAGAAAAGTGTGGAAGGTGGTAGAAACCAAAATTGAGATTGGTGATCCAGAGAATCCCACCGCGGCCGAAGAAGTGCTTCTCCAAAACAATGACATTGCTCTAAGTGCCATTCATGATGCAATTGATGAGAGAACATTTGAGCAAATCAAGAATATTGAGATGGCTCATGAGGCTTGGAAAAAGTTGGAAGAATCATTTTAGGGAACTCAAGCCATGAAGGGTGCAAAGGCATACATTCTCAAAGAGAAGTTTGCAAGCTTCAAGATGAAGGAGGATGAGAGTGTGCCGGAGATGTTCCATAGGCTTCAAGTGCTTGTCAATGATCTCAAAGCACTTGGAGAAGAGGTGAAGGACAAGGACTTCTCCCACAAGTTCTTGAGATGCTTACCTTCTAGATTTGGCACATTGGTCACTATTCTAGTGAGTAGTGGTTTGGACACCATGACACCAAACCAAGTATTGGGAGATATAATGACCGATGATACA